AGACATTTATCCTATTCTTTGCTTTGGGAAAATGCATGAAGCAGATGTACAGTGCACATCTGGTGGGCCCTAAGTCAGGCTGCTCTGGGAAAAACAAGTTTTAGGCTGAATTGGGGTTAAACCAGAATGGCTTCCCCCATATACCTCAATATGTGAAAAATTCTTCTTCTTATTTTCATCACCCTGTAGTGGAGCCTTCACTCAAATTCCGAGATGGCTCCCCACTCTTCTATCGTTGTCTATGTACATGACAACCAGACATGGCCATCCTGGCCTCAACACCCCCACTCCTGCCTGTGGAAAAGGGAAATGGAAATAGAAGGCTGTGGGCTGCCCTGTAGGGGAACACATCACTTCCTTTCACTTCCCATTAGCCAGAACTTAGTCATATGGCTGCCCCAGCTGCAGAGGAAGCTGGGAAATGTAGTTTTTCTCTGGGTGGCCGTATGTCCAGCTGAGATTTCTATTACTGTGAGAAGAGAGGAGACTGGATGTTGGGGGCAATTAGCCCCCCTTCTCTGTGAGATGCATTTTACAGGTGTGACCTTGAGGAAGCCTCCCGTCCATTTGTTGATTCAATAAGTATTCAGAAAGTACCCACTTGGGGCCAGGCCCTGGAGGATAGGGACACAAAGATGAGACAAACATTTAAAAAGTGTCCACACACATAAATATGTCATGGGAACATAAATTCTCAGAGAGAGCCAATGATATTCATTTTATCGAAGAGGAAACAGATTCAGAGAGCTGAAATCACTTGCTGAAATTCATCTAGCAAGTAAGCTCTTGGGGGGTAAAATGGGTCTCAAATAACACCACATAGTGTGTGGGTGTAGGAACACTTGTTAAAAATGCGTATACAGGAGGGGCTCTCAGTCCGTATTTATAACAAGCTCCCTAAGTTATTCTCACGCACAAGCAAGTTTGTGAACCACTGTCTGGATCATCTTGTCTGTACAAGTCAGCATCTTGCTATGGAGCTTCTCCTCTAAGCCCAGCCTGGTGCTGAGACCCAGTGGTTCCTGAGATGGGATGGCCCTGGGCCTGCCCTCCTGGGGCTTACTGCTGGGAGGAGACAGACCTATTCCCCAGACGGTGATGGTCCAGCATGGCCAGGGCTGGGCTAAGGAAGCTGAGGGAGCTGTGAGGGGGCACCTGACCCAGCCTCGAGGGTCAGGGAGGGCTTCCTGGAGGAGGGGACTTTATTATTATTATTTTTTGCTGAGGAAGATTCACCCTGAGCTAACATCCACTGCCAATCTCCCTCTTCTCATGTTGAATGACATCAGAAATAACGTTTCAAATACAAACTTCCCTAAGCAGGAAGTGCAGCTATATAACAGGACTGTCTGATCCTCCTGGAGAATCAGGGAAGCTTCCTGGAGGAAAAGCTATTCACAGGATGAGTAGGAGTTAGCCAGGCGAGGGGTGGGTGGGGGCGGGGGAAAGGGAGGTCAGGCAGAGGGAAGAGCATGTGCAGTGGCCCTGGGGTAGGAGAGCTTCTTGGGTCTGAGCCTCTACCTGCCCTACCTTCTACCCCACAGCCAGGAGGGGCCTCCCTCGTACAAGCCACCCACCCCAAAGGCGAAGCTGGAGGAGCCAGAGATGGTGAGCACTTCCCCTGGAGCCCAGGCTGCCCTCACCACCACACTCACCTTTCCCCACTGTGGCCGGGGCTGGGGGGGCTGGTGGGGAGAGGCTGGCTGTGGGGGGCGTCCTGACCTGTTCTTCCTCCTCCCCCTGCAGCCCTCCCAGCTATTCACTTTGGGGGCCTCGGAGCACAGCCCACTCAAGACCCCCTACTTTGATGCTGGTGTCCCATGCGCTGAGCAGGTAGGAGCTCTGGGGAGAACATGGGTGGGTTTGGGGTCTGGGTTTAAGGGCCAAGGGTCAGTCCCTGACATAAGAGGTCAAGGACTAAAGGTCACAACTCAAGATCAGGGCTGTGTCTCTAGTCAGAGCTTAGAGCATTGAGATGCGTCTAGGATTCAATGGGGGAGGTCATGGTTGAAAGGGTCAAAGACATCAGGTTAGAGTTTAAAGTCACGCGGTCAATGAAGACTGTTGAACATCTATATCTGCCAGATACTGTGCCTGGAGCTGCGACAAGACAGTGGTCTACTGGAGGTCAGGGGTCAGACAGTGAAGTTGAGACAAGTCAAGTTTCAAGGGGCTATTTAGGGCTATGGTCAAGTAGTTGAGGTCAAGATTGAAGTCAAGGGTTCATGGGGAAAGACATGGGGTCAGCGGTAGAAAAGACAAAGGAGAGACCCAGGACTGACAGGGTGAGGTCCATGCTCTGGGCTTTGAGTTAGGGACAAGCCATGTGGTTGTCCCAGTGTGGTCTCTACCCAGGTGACAATGGATGAGGTCGGGTCTGGTTGGCATGGGCAGATGGTCAGGATTTGGGGGTCAAGGGACAGGTTGGAATTCTGTATCATGCTCAGGAAGTGACCTTGGGCTCCTGTTCACCACCCCCCCCCAGGAATTGCCTCGATACCATGAGCTGCCCACCTTGGAAGAGCGGTCGGGGCCCCTGCTCACAGGGGCCATGAGCCTGGGGTCCCCCATCCTGGTGCCTCCAGGGCCACCAGCTGTGGAGGAGGTTTCCCTGGACCTCGAGAATGAAGAGGAGGAGGAGGAGGAGGAGGACTATCTGGACAAGATCAACCCCATCTATGATGCCCTGTCCTACTCCAGTCCCCCTGATTCCTACCAGAGCAAAGGCTTTGTCATGTCCCGGGCCATGTATGTGTGAGCTGCCATGGCCCTGGCCTCTTGCTGCTCACTTTATGATCTCTCGGCTTTCTGCCAGGGATCTAATGCCCCCTGACTGCTGGCCAGGCCACTGTCAGTTAACACACATGCATCTCATCTGTGACTTCTACCATGGTGGCTCCACTATGACCTCTAATCCATGACCTCTGACCCAGAGAAACCAGCCATGACAATGGAAACCTGGTAACCTTATATCATGAGGGCCTAGGGGGGTTCTGTTTCTGCACAACCTCTGACCCCAAGGACTCCTAAGACTGTGACCTTGCATCATACCTCTCATGTCCCACCATCTCCAGACTCCCCCCACATCCCAGAGAAGACTCCAGTCCTCTGATTTGTCCTCAGACAGTAAACTCCCAATAGCTTTGCTGGGGTGGGCACTGGGGGTACCCTGCTGCTCAGACCTGAGCCCTCCAGGCGGCAGAGACCCACTCGCCCCCTCCCCACCCTGTCTGTTCCCCAAAGGTGGGAGGGAGGGGATTCCCCAGCCCCAGGCAGAGCTTCCCCATCCCTTCCTTCCTGCAGGCAGGAGTCCCAGGGTCCACACACTTCCCTGAGCCCCACTACCCCAATTTCTGTCCACAGGTAATTAAACCCCAGCCCAGGACTAGATGGGGTGAGCCTCATGCACAGTGTGCCTTGCCAGCCCCAGCCTTGGGAGAAGAATTTGCTGTTACTCTGAACACTATTGACTACTTTTATTCCTGCCCAGTGGGATGGGACCCAAGCGTCCCCCTGGGGGGGGGGGGGGGAAAGTGGGTCACCTGGGTTGGGGGTAGGGGATATATTGTTTTGTAATATAGCATTTCCTAGAAAATATGAGTTTGTACTTTGACCATCTCTCAACGTGTGTTTTCTGTGGGATGTGAAGGGGATGGGTGTGGGGCATGATGGGTAATGAACAGGGGGCCCAGGGCTTGAGGGAATCAGTAGACTCGAGGTCAAGATGGGTTACGGACAAAAACAAAAGGGCCAAAGATATGAAGAAAATAACCAAGAGAAGGGATAAGGAGCAAAAATGCATAAACATAGTGATGAGGAATGGAAGGCGTAGGAGAGGAGTCCAGGGATGGTGGTGTATGAAAAGGAATCAGCGCAAACAGCACTCTAATGGGTAAGGGACGGAAATAAACGAAACGAAGATAGAAATGGCAGTAATTAAGTACGAGGGCTCAGCTTTAATGGAGAAATGGCAAGCAAAAATAGGCCAACGTCAAAATTAGGAATGATGCTGTCATAGGAGCTCAGGGCAGGATGGGTAATAGGTCTGAATGATGAGCCAAAGGCAGAGGGATGAATAAGGGAGAAACAGGGGCCGCAGGCATGACGGGTAATGGACCCAAAACACGATGGTTAATTAAGGAAGGGCTAGACGAATGATGGACGTGAAGAGGCAGAAAGGGGCTAAAGGCGGTGCAGGCAACGAAGCTGAAATGAATGGGCAGAGGCATGCTGGGTAATGGGACAGGAATGAATGGGCCCAGGAGAGAAGCCTTAGCGACGCGAGGGGGCGGGAGCAGAGGGCAGAGGCATGATGGGTAACGAAAGGGGTGGGCCTACGGCAACCGCCGCGCTGAACAAGTAAGCAGCATTGTGGGTAACAAAAAGCAGGACAGGGTTCACATAACCGATTAGAATTCTCCCAAGGCACTGTGGGAAGGGCCAGCACTTCCGGTTTTCGGTCGCCCACTCCGGACTAGGGGCCTGCCCCACTGCCGCGGTGCCTGGTGGGACTCGAGGCCTGACCTTGCTGCCTAGCAGCCTCTGCCGTGCAACCTACCTTTATCTGTGTCCCTCGACCCTGGCACGTTAGCCAATGAGCGGACGAGGCTGATTACGTCATCAGGGTGGGACCCTGTACCTGCCGGAGCCAATCAGGATTGTGCAAGGGCCAAAACCGACCACTTAACATGGCAACTTCGCCGCGGGGCGGAGTCGAAGGCGGGGGGGCCTTCTGGAAAGGGGCGGGAACGATGAGGCAGTGGGCGTTGCAAAGTGCGAAGCACAGACCAGTGGCGGGCGAGCACCGGGACCCGCGGCGTCTTGAGCCAATAGGTACGGGTGATGCGAGCCAACGGAAAGAGCGGGTAGGTGTGCCTTGACCGGCGTATGAGTGGGAACCAATAGAAAAGGCTGTTCCAAAGAAGTGGGTGGGACCCTCATGCAAGACACCAATAGTAAAGGCAGGCCCTGAAGCCGGTGGGCGGAGCCCAGGCCTTGCTGAGCCAATGGGACAGGCGGGGCGGGGCGATGGTGGCGGCGGCGGCAGCAGCGGGTTCGGTTGCGCGTGGCGCACGGGGTGGGAGCGGAGCCCAGGCCGGGAGCAGGCGCTGCAGCCAGTGAGACCGGGGCCCGGAGCAGGGTGGGGGTTGCCGGGGGACTCGGCCTGGGGTGCGCCGGCCTGACCTCCGCCCTCTGACCTTTCCCCTTGCAGGCGACCATGGGGAACGTGTTGGCCGCTAGCTCTCCGCCCGCGGGGCCGCCGCCGCCGCCCGCGCCCGCCCTCGTGGGACTGCCGCCGCCGCCGCCCTCTCCTCCCGGCTTCACGCTGCCGCAGCTCGGGGGCGGCCTGGGCGCTGGGGCCGGCGCGGGTCGAGGCTCGGAGCGGACGCCGGGGGCTGCGGCCGCCAGCGGCGCAGGGAGCGCGGACGATGGGGCCTGCGGCTGCCTGCCGAACCCGGGCACGTTCGAGGAGTGCCACCGGAAGTGCAAGGGTGAGGGGCGAGGGACCCGGCGGGGCGCGCTGGCCCGGATCTCGGGGGACAGGGAAGCACACTGAGGACCTTGGGAACGGGCACGGGCTCCTGGAGTCGTGAAACAGCGTAGGGGTTGACGTTGGGATCGGATGGGGGAAAGTTGGCCTAGGGGCTCAGAATGATGGCACCGAACGGTGGAACCTCGGGGTGGAATGCCACAGCGGTGAGAAGAGCCTTAGGGACCTCAGGAGGCCCGGGGATCAGCCAAGCCAGCCTCCTCGCGATCGGGAAGGAAACTGAGGCCCAAGGTCATAGTGTCTTCAAGAGTCCTGTGTGGGTGGACCCAAGGTTTCTGGATCCTGGGTTGGACTAATTGTGATAGCAGAAATCGTGGAGACTTACTGAGCACTATTCTGGCATTCAGTGGATGTTAACTCGTTAAATGTTTGCAGTTTTTCCACGTGGTGACAGTCACACCTTACACGTGACAAGCTTGACATAGATAGGGAGACTTGTGTACAGTCACAGGGAGAGTAGATGGAGGCAGTGGGATTGGGATGCAGAAAAAAGCCCTGGTACTGACCGTGTCTACTGGTTAGGGTTCTTTGTATGGTGTTCTGCTTGTGCGGCTGTGGAGAAAGGAGAGCTGAGAGGGTAGGGAAGGAAGAGAGGAGAGTTGGCTGTGTGTGTGTGTGTGTGTGTGTGTGTGTGTGTGTGGAGAGTGACAGCGTTTCTCCTCCTCAGAGCTGTTTCCCATTCAGATGGAAGGTGTCAAGCTCACGGTCAACAAAGGGTTGAGTAACCACTTCCAGGTGAGCCTTGCTGGTGCCCTTGCCCTCCAGAGTCATGCCAGCCATCCCCCTGAATCGGCACGCACAGCCCCTCCTCCTCCGCAAATGGCTGGGCTCCATGGGACATGAAAAGGCTCAGAGACGCAGCTAGACCGACTCCTCACTGGGGGCCAGGGTAGCATTTGGGGACCCAGAGTCCAGAGATGCCTGTCCCCCGTGATGTCCAGGCAGGAGTAGGGCCAGGTTTGCAGCTCCGCCCCCAGCACATCTTTTCTCTGAGGGTCATCTACTCAGGCCACACCACCCCGTCTTCACCCCCTGCCCAGCCCAGAGACGCCTGGCTTTTGCTCCCTGATCGGGGAGCCAGGCTGGCAGGTGTCCGCATCCCAAGCTGGGGGGTAGCTGTGCTGGGGTGGACTCAGCGGGGTGTATTGGGGTCCCCACAGCCCTCGCTCTTCTCCAGGTGAACCACACAGTCGCCCTCAGCACAATTGGGGAGTCCAACTACCACTTCGGGGTCACGTACGTGGGGACAAAGCAGCTGAGTCCCACTGAGGTGAGGCGCCTATTGTCATTCATCGGTGTCTCTTCTTTCTAACACGTGTGGAGCCGGACGCCAGGAGAACAAGGCTCCAACAGTAGAGGGCCAGGCTGCTGAGGGAGCTGAGGGTGTCGAGGGGTGGGGACCCTGTGTCCAAGGTGCATTGGGACGGGGTCATTCCTTCCTCCTGCTCCCCTGCTGTCTGCCCAGCCCTGTGCTGGGTGAGGCTGGGGACGCTGGGGTGACCACCAGACAGTGATGACTAGAGGGTCAGGGCTGGGCTGTAGATCCTGGGGGGTTCCATGCCGAAGTCGGCATTGGGACGTTCTCTAGGGGGCGCTGGAGCGCCACAGGAAGAGGGGACCAAGGGAGAGACTGTCATATGTGCGCTTGAGAGGGGGCCTCAGGCTGTTGCAGAGGCTGGGTCAGCCGGGTAGGGGCAGAACCTCAGGTCTGGAGGGCGGCTGGGGCGGGACGCAGTGGAGTTGGGCTGAATTGGGTCTCTGCTTATAGAGACTGGACGTTTCTGTTGAAGAAATTGATTTATTCAACACACCTTCTTTGTCCCCGTGCTGAGCCCAGCCCTGTGCCACATGGTGCTGGTGACACAGCTTTGACTGACATGACCATGGGGCACAGGGTCTAGAGGGGAGAAGGAACAGTCCTGTCCCCGGCCATTTACAACCCAGGCTGGGCAGAAGTGAAATGGGGGCACCCAAAGGCCGTGGGAGCCCAGAGGGGAACCTAACTCAGCCTAGGTGGCCAGGGGGCTTCCTGGAGGAGGGGACCTCAGGCTGAGGCTTTCTGACCTAGGCCCATCGCCCATGAACTTAGACGTAATGCTAGACGTCGGCCCCTGACCTGGCCCTCTGCCCACAGGCGTTCCCCGTGCTGGTGGGGGACATGGACAACAGCGGCAGCCTCAATGCTCAGGTCATTCACCAGCTGGGCCCCGGGCTCAGGTCCAAGATGGCCATCCAGGTGAGTGGGCGCCGAGTCGGCTGTCCCCCAGCCCCCCGAGCCCAGGCTGGCCTCACACCCTGCTCCCCACAGACGCAGCAGTCGAAGTTCGTGAACTGGCAGGTGGATGGGGAGTACCGGGGCTCCGACTTCACGGCCGCCGTCACCCTGGGGAACCCGGACGTGCTGGTGGGGTCAGGTAAGAGGGCAGGGCCGGAGGTTGGTCACCTGGCCGTCCCAGCTGTCCACGCACATCCGCTCCTTCCCGGGACCCCTGTTCTGTCTGAGAAGGGTCAGGCCAGGAACGGTTTCGAAACATCAGGCAACATGACATCATGAACAAGAAAGAGGTTCAGGTGCCAACTGTGCCGCTGGCTGCCCTTCCATGGAGGCGACTTCCACTCCTCCAGAGCCTCTGTTTCCTCGTTTGTAACCTGGGCTCCCTCACAGGGCTGTGGTGGAGGTGGTGGACCTTTGTGTGTGGAAAAGCGTGCAGTTGCAGGGGCGGGCCCCGTTTCCCAGGCACGTGTGAGCTGTGGTCCTTCACGGCCCCTCCAGGCCCTACACGATGGCCCCCCTTTGAGAGCCACTGGTCCTGAGCTGGCCCAGCTTTAGGGAGGCCCTGGGCCTGGGGGAGCCGGGGCTGGATGTGAGCAGGAGGAAGACCAGAGCTGGGCGTGGAGCTGGAGGTACGGGAAGGGGGAGGGGTTCCCCACAAAGGCCTCAAGGAAGCAGCAAGCTGGGCCACTCTGGAGGGTGAGCATCCTGGGCCCAGGCCTGGGGGGTGCTCATGGAGCAGAAAGCGTGGGCTGTGGCATGGAGACGAGCCAGCATTCTCAGAGCCTGCATGTGGGGACCTGGAGAGAGACTTGAGCAGTAGGGACCATGCTCTGACTGGGTCCTCACAGCCTCCTAGTGGCCGCTCTGTCTGCTGGCCCCTTACAGGGGGATCAGGGTGGGGACTGCAGTGTCCCATGGTGGTGGTGGCTCTGACCAGGGTCGTGCTGCAGAGAAGGACCCAAATCCAGGAAATACACAGGGGCAAATATTGAGTTGGGCTGCCTGAGCAGAGGGAAGGTCCCCGGGGTACAGGGACAGTGTGTGCAGGCCTGATGGCAGAGAGAGAGAGGGAGAGAGAAAGCTCTGCTCCTGCAGCCCGCAGGGAACAGCCGGGTGTGTTCAGGGAGGAGGAAGTGGTTCTATCTGGAATCCCGGACCAGCCACCCAGGGCCTCTGGGGCACTGGGGAGCCATGGATGGTTCTGATCAGAGGAGAACAGGGGCAGGTGTATGCTGAAACCACATCCCTGTGTGCTTCAGCTGAAGTTGCTGGGTGAGGGTGGGACTGGGGCAGGAGAGCAGGGAGGAGGGTAGGGCTGGGGGAGCAGGGGCAAGGCCAGGACGGAGACCTCTACAGGGCGAATCCCAGTGGTCACTGAGCGCCAGCTATGTGCTCCACACGCTCTGGATGCTGTGCCCACATCTCCTCCTTCGTGGTCCTCACAGCCTCGAGAGGCGGTCTTTTGCAGAGATGTGACAGCACTGGCCCGCGGTTACTCCCCGGGCCTGGGCTGTGGCTGGGGTTTGAATGGCCGCAGGATTTTTCTTGCCCTGTCTCCCCTCCTGCCTCGACCTCCCTCCATCAGCCTCCTCTGTAATGATGGGAAATGAATGCTGGCCACACGGGGATGTGCAGAGCACGTGAGGATCCCGGGGCGGAGAGGCTGACCTGAGAGCCCTGGGAAATGCTCAAGACAGGAGCAGGGGCGGGGCCTGAGGGCAGCCCAGAGCCTGCAGCAGGGTTGAGCCTGGAAGGCTGCTGGGAGCAGGGGTCTGCTGGACAGAAACCACGTGGCCCAGGAACGTCCCGCCCTCTCGCCCGCAGGGATCCTCGTGGCGCACTACCTGCAGAGCATCACGCCGTGTCTGGCTCTGGGTGGGGAGCTGGTCTACCACCGGCGGCCCGGGGAGGAGGGCACCGTCATGTCTCTAGCTGGGAAATACACATGTGAGCCTGGGCTGGGGCCCGAGTCAGGGCTGGGACCAGAACCCTGGGTCTGAGGGAAGAGGAGCTGGGGGCCTGGACTGTTAGGTCTGAGGGAGGAGGGGCTGGGGACCTGGACTCCTGGGTCTGAGGGAGGAGGGGCTGGGGCCCGGACCCCCGGGTCTGAGGGAGGAGGGGCTGGGGCCCGGACCCCTGGGTCTGTGGGAAGAGGGGGAATCTGGTTCCCAGAGGCCAACGTCCCCTTGGTGACCTGCTCCCACCCCCACCCTGCTCCCTCACAGTGAATAACTGGTTGGCGACCGTCACGCTGGGCCAGGCGGGCATGCACGCCACATACTACCACAAAGCCAGTGACCAGGTGAGCTAGTCCGGCCGGGCCACGAGGACACACGTCCTGGGCCTGGTGGCCCCGGGCGTGCAGCCAGGAAGCTGACTCTGCCGCCCGGCCCCTCCAGCTGCAGGTAGGCGTGGAGTTTGAGGCCAGCACGAGGATGCAGGACACGAGTGTCTCCTTCGGGTACCAGCTGGACCTGCCCAAGGCCCACCTGCTCTTCAAAGGTACAGGCCTCAGTCCCATTGCGGACAGCGGGCGAGAGGGGACTCAGCTCTGAGTGGGGTACAGGCCACAGGGGACAGTAGAGGGCGGCAGGCTGGGACTGTGGGGGGCTTGCAGACCCTGGGACGCGCTTTTTAGAAGGTGGGTGATGGGCCCCGAGCTTTGCCCCCTCCTCACCCCTCCTGCCCCACCAGCAGCCCCTCCCCTCCCTGCCCTCAGCCTCTCTTGCCTGTGTCCTAAGTGGAGGGCAACTTGGAGCCCATCTCCCCCATCTCGCGTTAGTGCGAACTGAGGCTCCTGGAGGTTGTGCGGTCACGGCGAGATCCAGAACCTTCTCCCAGGCTGACTGGCTCTAGTCTTCGGCCTTCAGTTGCTTCTGGGACCTCCGTGGTCCTCAGTTTGGAGGTGTGAAGACCACCCAGAAGGCCGCTTTGGTCAGCTGGGCTGGGCTTCTGAAGATGGTCATGGGGCCCAGGGGCTCTGCCTCTCGGGCCTGCCTGCCACCTCTGGAACCCTGGCTGTGCCCTCAGCTTCGTATCTGAGGGTTTGGGGTCTAGGTTGACTGCTGCTCTGCCCCTGTGAAATGAATGGTCGCCCTTTTCCAGGGTGTGGGGACTACTTGGTGCACTCACACTTGTGGAAGGTTCTGGGCGCCAGAGGAGATTTCGGTCTTTAGTTTAGCAGATTATGAACAGCTGCTCTGTGCCCAGCCTTGTGCTCAGCAGGCTGGGGACAACGTGGAGACCCAGCCCTGTCCTCAGGGGGCTCACAGTGGAGGGGACAGGCTCCTTCCCAGGAATGATGACCTCGTGTGGACAGAGGGAAAATTGGGGAGCCATGGGGGCTGTAGGGCTTCCTGGAGGAGGAGGGTTCTGTGAGCTGAGAGCTGAGGGGGAGGAGGAGGAAGGAACCAGGTGCTCCCAGGGCTGGGGTACCTGGGGAGGGAAGAGGGTTCCGGGTGGCGGGAACAGCGTGGGCAGGGGGCTACAGGCAGGCAGTCTGGCTGGTGGTGTCTGAGGTGGCCTGGCAGGGCTCTCACCCCGGCCGTCCCCCCAGGCTCCGTGGACAGCAACTGGATCGTGGGCGCCACCCTGGAGAAGAAGCTGCCCCCGCTGCCCCTGACGCTGGCCCTCGGGGCCTTCCTGAACCACCGGAAAAACAAGTTCCAGTGCGGCTTCGGCCTCACCATCGGCTGAGCCCCCCACCTCGCCGCCACGCCCTTCCTCCTCCAGATCCCCCCCTCCCTTCCCTCCTCCTCAGGTCCGGGGGCAGCGGAAAGGAGGGGATCCGCCACCCCAGCAGCTGAGGGGGACTCTGGAACCGGCTCCAGGATCGGGAGCAGCAGGGGCCATGTGCCCAGGGGGCTGGGGTCCCGGAAGGGGCTCCAGAGTCGAGGACATGGGGTTCTGGGCACCAGGGGCAGAGGGGCCACAAACCTCAGGGAGGTGTTGGGGTGTCCCCGTCCCCCAAGGGCCCTGGGCCCGGCCCCGGGGGGCAGCAAGGAGAGGAGCTGCCAGCCCCGGTCACTCCGCCCGCCCGCCTTCCCTCCCCCCCTCCTCGGTAGAAATCATGTTTATAAGTTATGGAAGAACCCGGACGTTTTACAGAAAAAGACAAAAACAAGAACAAAAAATATACATAAAAAACCAAGTGAAGTGGGAGGCCTTGCTTTTCCTGCTGTTTCTGCGGCCTCCTGGGCCCTTTCCATCCGGCCGACGTTCCCACAGCGGCCGGTAGGGGGCGCGGCAGGGTCAGCGCAGAAGAATGACACCAACCACGGGGTTCTCAAGCCTGGCTGCTGCCTGGACCCCGCTCAGAGAGGGAAAGGGCCTGGCCCAGGATCACACAGCCCAGGACTGCACCTTAGAGGGGCATCACAGGCCTTCCCTCAGCAGGAGGGCAGGGTCTTGGGTCACTCGCCCCAGCTCGTCCTGCCAGAGTGGCTGCAGAGGACTTTGTCCCTGCCAGCTGTGGACACAGATGACGCTGTCTCTGAGTGCAGGGCTGGGGACACTGAGCTGGGACTCCGAGGTCTTCGCAGCTTCCTAAAGGAGCAGGGCATGATGGGGTGTGAGCACCTCTTCATGATGGGAAGGTCAGAGCTATCAGAAGCTTCCGGAAGAACTGAAGTACCTGGACAGGCTTCAGAATCAGTGGCTGTGTCTGAGGGGGAGAAGGGCCTGGGCTCCAGCACTCCTGGGCCTCGGGGGCCCGGCTGGGGTCTGACTCAGGTGGGGAGAGGGGTGGGGGCGGGGTGCCCTGTGTCTCAGGCCTCTGAAGCTGGAGGACGAGGAGCTGTCCCTTTGCCACCTGGGGCCCAGAGAAACCGACACCCCTGACCCTGCAGACAGGACCGGAAACCCCGTCTGCCCCTCCACATACACACACACATGGTCAGGGAGGGAGGCGGCTGGACAGAGATGACCCTCCGTCACCCAGAGAGGCTGCTGCACCTGCTCTGCCAGCAGCTTGTGAGGCCAAAGCCGACAGCCTGGGCCGGGTGGCACTGGGGCCCCTCCTGGGTCCAGGTGTTCGGCCTCCCCTAACCCCGTGGCTCCGAGGTTCCCACACCCTGGAGGGACCAGGACAAATCCCACCTCCTCCGGTTGTCCCTGTGTGGCTTCACTGCCCACCTCAACTGTGAACCTCGGCTTTGTCATCTTGAAAGAGCTGGGATTCATGTCACAGGCTGCTGGGAAGGTGACAGTGTTTGAGCGCTCTGTGTGGCCCGTCAGAGCAGTCAGCTCTAATATGGGACCCACCGTGGGCCGGAGACTGTCCTCAGTACTTCCGGGGTATGGTAGTAGCTTGTTGCATCACCGAACAATGGTGTCAGTGCAGCCTACTTCCCAGTTTTGTGGATCAAGAAACGGGATGTACAGAGAGCTGGGTTATTCGCCCAAAGTCACACAGCTGGCAACCGGCAGAGCCCGGATTGTGTTGCTTGTGGGGCTCTGGAGAAGGGAGAGCTGGGAGGGTAGGGAAGGAATGGGTGAGAGTTGGGTGTGTGTGTATGCGTGTGCGCGCGCGCACGTGTGTGTGTGTGTGTGTGTGTGTGCAGGGAGACAGCGTTTCCCCTCCTCAGAGCTGTTTCTCATTCAGATGGAAGGTGTCAAGGTCAGGGTCAACAGGGTTGAGTAACCACTTCCAGGTGAGCCTTGCTGGTGCCCTTGCCCTCCAGAATCATCCCAGCCAGCCCCCTGAATCGGCACGCACAGCCCCTCCTCCTCCCCAAATGGCTGGGCTCCATGGGACATGAAAAGGCTCAGAGACGCAGCTAGACCGACTCCTCACTGGGGGCCACGGTAGCATTTGGGGACCCAGAGTCCACAGACGCCCGTCCCCCCTTGATGTCCAGGCAGGAGTAGGGCCAGGTTTGCAGCTCCGCCCCCAGCACATCTTTTCTCTGAGGGTCATCTACTCAGGCCACACCACCCCGTCTTCACCCCCTGCCCAGCCCAGAGACGCCTGGCTTTTGCTCCCTGATCGGGGAGCCAGGCTGGCAGGTGTCCGCATCCCAAGCTGGGGGGTAGCTGTGCTGGGGTGGACTCAGCGGGGTGTATTGGGGTCCCCACAGCCCTCGCTCTTCTCCAGGTGAACCACACAGTCGCCCTCAGCACAATTGGGGAGTCCAACTACCACTTCGGGGTCACGTACGTGGGGACAAAGCAGCTGAGTCCCACTGAGGTGAGGCGCCTATTGTCATTCATCGGTGTCTCTTCTTTCTAACACGTGTGGAGCCGGACGCCAGGAGAACAAGGCTCCAACAGTAGAGGGCCAGGCTGCTGAGGGAGCTGAGGGTGTCGAGGGGTGGGGACCCTGTGTCCAAGGTGCATTGGGACGGGGTCATTCCTTCCTCCTGCTCCCCTGCTGTCTGCCCAGCCCTGTGCTGGGTGAGGCTGGGGACGCTGGGGTGACCACCAGACAGTGATGACTAGAGGGTCAGGGCTGGGCTGTAGATCCTGGGGGGTTCCATGCCGAAGTCGGCATTGGGACGTTCTCTAGGGGGCGCTGGAGCGCCACAGGAAGAGGGGACCAAGGGAGAGACTGTCATATGTGCGCTTGAGAGGGGGCCTCAGGCTGTTGCAGAGGCTGGGTCAGCCGGGTAGGGGCAGAACCTCAGGTCTGGAGGGCGGCTGGGGCGGGACGCAGTGGAGTTGGGGCTGAATTGGGTCTCTGCTTATAGAGACTGGACGTTTCTGTTGAAGAAATTGATTTATTCAACACACCTTCTTTGTCCCCGTGCTGAGCCCAGCCCTGTGCCACATGGTGCTGGGACACAGCTTTGACTGACATGACCATGGGGCACAGGGTCTAGAGGGGAGAAGGAACAGTCCTGTCCCCGGCCATTTACAACCCAGGCTGGGCAGAAGTGAAATGGGGGCACCCAAAGGCCGTGGGAGCCCAGAGGGGAACCTAACTCAGCCTAGGTGGCCAGGGGGCTTCCTGGAGGAGGGGACCTCAGGCTGAGGCTTTCTGACCTAGGCCCATCGCCCATGAACTTAGACGTAATGCTAGACGTCGGCCCCTGACCTGGCCCTCTGCCCACAGGCGTTCCCCGTGCTGGTGGGGGACATGGACAACAGCGGCAGCCTCAATGCTCAGGTCATTCACCAGCTGGGCCCCGGGCTCAGGTCCAAGATGGCCATCCAGGTGAGTGGGCGCCGAGTCGGCTGTCCCCCAGCCCCCCGAGCCCAGGCTGGCCTCACACCCTGCTCCCCACAGACGCAGCAGTCGAAGTTCGTGAACTGGCAGGTGGATGGGGAGTACCGGGGCTCCGACTTCACGGCCGCCGTCACCCTGGGGAACCCGGACGTGCTGGTGGGGTCAGGTAAGAGGGCAGGGCCGGAGGTTGGTCACCTGGCCGTCCCAGCTGTCCACGCACATCCGCTCCTTCCCGGGACCCCTGTTCTCCCGTCTGAGAAGGGTCAGGGCAGGAGCGCTTTCGAAATTTCAGGCAACGTGACATCGTGGGCGAGAAAGAGCCACCAGTGACACTTTTGCCCTCAATTCTCACAAGGTCTCTTCTTCCCTCAGACACTCATCATACAGGGCCCTCTGGGCTGGGTCAGTGCTGAGGACAGAAGAAGGTCAGCAGCAACAGCTGGGCCTTGGGACCCCCGTGGCTCCACCCCCCTGAGCCTTGGTTTCCACATGTGTCACATGTCACAGCAGCAGTGAACATGTCTTGGTGCAGGCCACAGTGGCAAAGCCCATCTTTGGCCCTCAGTGCGGGGCCAGAAGCAAATGACAGTCCCTGTGTGTCAGATCCCTGTGCCCCTACAGTGGATGGGAGTCGGTGTGTTCATGGCCCCTTTTCACGTATGAGGGAGCCAGGCCCAGGGGTGACGTGAGTCCCCCAGGATCCCACGGCAGAAAGCACAGGACCTGGAATTTGCCTTTTGGCCTGTCTCGAGAGCCCGGGTTCTCCTGGTGGCCTCCCTGTGGCCTCAGCTCCTGCTATGGAGCCTCTGCTCCCTTCTGAGCATCTGGGCGGGCTGTTCTGGGACCCAGCAGTGACTGAGATGACCCCTTCCTCCCCCACAGAACTCGCAGGCTGGGGGATGACATTGGCCTTTGAACAGAGCCTCACACAGGGACATCATTCCTGGGGTGAGGAAGCCAGCCCAGGAAAGGGTCAGGGCTGGGAGAGCTTCTCTCAGGGGAGCACGTCCCTCCTGAAGTGACAGGGATGGCTTCTCTCAAACGGGGGTTGAGGTCTAGTCTAGGTGAAGGTGGAGAGGGCACCACGTGGGCAAAGGCCCCCCAGAGGCCCCCGGAGCCCGGGATGTGCAGGGGAAGGGGCGTCCTATCCACTGGGGCCAAGAACAGCCTTTCTCTGGTGGTGCCCCACCTGAGCACCCACCCTGGGTGGCTGCCGTTCCTGCTCCAGGGACGTCCCCAGGGAATCCTGATGGGGTCAGCTGAGCAGGGGAATGGCCAGGGTTGGCTGACCTCACCTCCCTCTCTCCCTCACCCATTCTTATCTCCTGCTCTTTGCCCTTGCTGGAGGTCTCGTCTTTGCTTGCACAGACCTCTACTCACTGTGTTTCCTGCTATTAGGGAATACATTCTTCATGACCCCTCCAGACACTACAGAATGGCCCCCGATTGAGAACTGCTGGTCCTGTCTGAGCCCAGCCTCGGGGAGCTGACAGGCCTGGGGGAGCCAGGTCTAGATGTGAGCAGGAGGAACAGCAGAGAAAATCAGTGGGAGATGTTCCCCAAAAAGGCCTGTGAGGGGCAAGTCTGAGTGGTGAGCTGGGCAGCTCTGGAGGATGAACATCCTGGGCCAGGAACCTTGGGAATGTGCTAGGGGAGCAGAGAGGATGGGGTGTGGTGTGGGGACGAGCCAGAATCCTTCCTTACTCACCAGGTAAGGTTGTTGGGAACCCTATAAGTGAGGTACCAGGAGAATTTCAAGTGTATTTATTCCATAAAGTCAACCATGGCTCCTAAAAGCTGTCTGGTCATATCTGAGTCTATGCCTGTTTCTCTCAACTATGACATTCCAGTCAAAGCCTTGGTAACATAACCAATATTTCCAATTGTGTCCTATTATAAGGAGGACAGGTTCTTATTGGACTTACGCAAATAACTGTTGCCATGAAAATAAGAACAGTCACGTATCAGGAGGTTCCAAATTCTGGAGGCATCAGGTAGGGAGAAAAAAACAACTGTTTCAATTCTACTTACAAAGGCTTAATTTACTTAATTGCTATAAGTCATAGTTTGCTTAAGAGAAGAGAGGAAAGGGTTTCCTCAAATCTGGAAAAACAAAATAAAAAAATCAGCAGTATTTCAAACAAGAAGTCATAAAAGTTATACTCATCCTCATCAATTCTCTCACTCCCATGGAATCAATTTTGATCTTGATATTCTGTTACCAGTTTTATGGAGCCATCATTTTCTCCATTAGAGTTCTGGAATTTCTTTCCCAGCTCAGTTTTATAATGTGAAAGTTTTTCAGAAAACTATATTCTATAGCAGGTGTCAGAGGACTTCCCATGAATCTCTCTGAAGATGAAACATATTTTCAAAAGCATCAGAGTAAAACAATAACTGTCTGTGAATGATAAAAGATTTAAAAATGGCAGTTGACAAAGGTATTTCATTGTTTCTGTGACATAACATTTTAAAATATCTAGAATTCTGACTTACAACCAGGACAGATCAGAACTTTAGGAATGTTATATCATTTTAAAAAACGCTTATATTAATAACATTCACCCACACAATATAACCTAAGAAGGTTTATTATTTTTGTGACAATGCTTCTCAGGTAATTTACCATGCCAAATGAGCCTAACTAGCTTAATATCTCCTTTTTTATACAAAGAGAGAACAAATTCTTTGAGAAGTCACAGGGATACATTGGAATTCTCAAAGTTACTTCCAAGTCAAAGACAGAATTTATTTAGGATTTGAACTTTTGGAAAGTGTCAAGAATATCAAAAGATTTTAAAACACTTGGTCAAATAGGATGATAGCTCTCTGTGGAGCAAAGCTTAGTTATCCATTTAACTAAAGTGATGAGAGAAGATGTTAAAAGCAAACATACACAGTTAAATAGTTAAAAAACATTCATAGACCTGCACCTTTCTGAACACAGAAAATTTTTTGACAGAACATAGGTTTTGTATCCTTTACACAGTCTTACTCATAGGTAAAGAAAAACCATTTATAATCTCTTTATCAAGAGTAGACTAAAAGTTCAGAAATTTATCTTTTTAAGAGAAAGAAAAACAAATTTTGATTTTCATACTAGCTTACTTTTGATATGAAAACTTATTCCTTTAATTGAATTTGTTTTCATCTTCACCCACATGCCTATCCACAAAGTTCTTTTTTCAGGGTTCTTCCACAAACCTTCTCTAACTTTCATTTAAATGCAGAATTCATTCTGTGTCTTCTTTCCTTCCCTGTACTGTAGGACAAATTTATCTTTCTTAACCAAACAAAGATATCTCCATTCCTTAAATCCTCTTTACTGAAAACACACATCTTACTTTCCTTAATTTTTCATATTGGCATCCTGTGGATTGGCAGATCCATAAATACTGTCTAGAAACACGTGATTTCTCAAAGAAAGTTTGTCAACATGGCACAAAACGTGTTTATCAATAAACCCAAGTATTTTTCCAGTTTCTCTGTAAGAAGATGCCAAAGGTAGATAACCTATGTTTATTAATTAATATCTAATATCTAATATCTTGTGTGGAAATGTCCTAGATACTCAGTAAATCTTACAGTTTAACTTAATTTGGCAGAACCCTAAGCTTTCAAGTTACCGCAAAGCTTTTGAAGTTATTTTAAGTACGTACCCCATAACACGTAATTATTGTTAAGAAGTTCACCCAACACTGTTATCTTTTCCACATCTCTTTAGTTCACTTATTCCCAATAATTATTTAGATTGCCTACAAGACTTCATGAGACATTAGACAAAATTAGCTTCGTTCTAAGATATTATTTTTGCTAACAAGTTTTATAACAGTGATAACATGAGCTTTTTCAACCAATAAACCACATAGAATAAGGGCTGCATGGCTGCATCATATGCGGTGTTGGTAACTCACATGCTGCATCGTATGCGGTGTTGGTAACTCACATGCTGCATCGTATGCGGTGTTGGTAACTCACATTCCTATTTCAATCAAACCAACAAAATTAAATAAGCTTTCATTTACCAAAGATTACTTTATCTCATTTAACTTAAAAAACGTTTGAGTTACTTTCTACTACATTTACATAAGCATCTAACTGTAAACCAATTGAATTGAGCTCATTTAGAAATTATATCTGGGGGTAAAATGTCACATGTATATAAATAGACAAACGTACACAGAGACTCCACAGCTATTGTTTTAAAATTAGTGCCATGAATCAGGTACAGTAATACAAAGCTCACTAGTTATGAATCCCAGTTTTCTTTTAAGCTTTTTCTACTAATATTTGTGGGGAAGACACTTAAAATGGTAGATTTTGAGTGAGGGCACTAAATACATGGTTTTTGCTTTCTTTTTCCCTTTTTTTCCCCCTTCCGTCTTAGGAATTGGTGATTGGCTAGATAACAGTTCCCAGAGAGGTTACACGCCTTGTAAGATAGAGGACATGGGTGGAATCTGAACTGCCTCTACAGCTGCCTTTCCAGTTTTGCAAGGATTTGTAAAATAAAGACAGTTGTTCTTAATTCCTCAGAAATCGTCTTGTCACTCAAATGACATTACTGGTTGATCTACACTTCGAACTGCATCACCTCTAATTTGCTTCTTTCCCTCTGGGTGCTTAGTTTTATTTTAACTTAAGGAGGAACGTCTGAAAAATGCCTATCAGGCTCTGAATATGAGCTTCCAATTTGGCTGAATTTCTGACCCTAAGTTGCTAAATCCTTTTAAACGTAACGTCTTGTCAGGTTGTAGCCAGGATGAACAGTAAGTATACCTGGGAATGTTGACCGCTCCCTTAATTTCTCACCTAGAAGTTTCCCAGGAAATCTCTCCAAATCTCATTTTCTCTGGGAGGGGCTTCTTTTGGGCCCTCTTTCAAAGGTAGATCACGGGAGTGTTCATAAAGCCAGGACCTAATAGGCTTTTCTTTTAGGAACCTTTTATAAATTATTTTTTTTTCTTTTTGCAATGAAAGTTTCAATAAGATGACTTTGGGATTTTGAAGCTTTTGCTTTTAAGCATGCTTCTTAAATGATCTTATCTAATTGGAAACATTCCTTCTAAGGGCCAAGGTAATTCCCTTCAGGCTGAAGACAGGTTGAAAGGACCTTTAGCTGCAGATAGAGTGCAACCCACATTTCTGTCCGAGCATCTCTGACTGCAAACGGGTGCACCTGCATTTTTGTTCAACTGCATTTTGAGATCCTGACCTGATGATTATTCAGCCAAGCCCTCAGAGCCTGCAGCTCCTGGGTCATCGGGCCCAGCTGCTCCTCCACCTCTGACTTGTGGGCCTTCACCTCCTCCATGATGTCCTCCATCAGCACCCTGGGAGCGGAGAGGGCGGGAGCGTGTGCGCGGAGACAGGGAGAAAGACGGGGTGGGGGAGGGCAAGATGAGGACAGAGAGACCCAAAGGAGAGAAGGAAGGGGAGGGAAAGGCTGAGGGAAAGGCCAAGAGAAGGAGACAGAGACGGACAGAAGCTGAGATGAGAGGGAAGAGTGTGGGAGACTGAGCTCCATGATGGAGGGAGACACAGAGAGGAAGATGGCAGAGACGGGGAGAGCTGACAACAGTCAGAGAGAGGCAAGGCCGGGAGCTCCAATGGAGAAAGGAAGCAAGAAATGAAGAGAGACCCCTAAGAGCTGGTGATAGAGAAAGAAAGAAATAACAAATAACCCTGTAATGAACATCCTCACCCGTCTCCCCGTGTCTTTCTCCGGCCCCGGCATCGGAGCAGACTTGGGATCGCTGGGACACAGGACACACATACTTCACGTCACTAGAAACTGCCAGGCTGCTCTCCGTTGCAGTGACCCAGCCCGCAATCCTGAGGAGTGGAGGCAGCTTCCCAGGTGCCCACATCCTCACCAGCACCTGCCCTTTTCCGCTCTTCTGCCCTCTGCCCGGGGGACCAGGAGCTGACTGGGTCCTTTGGTTGTTTTCCTCTCTCTGCCCCTGAGCTGGAGGCTCCCTTCACAAGCAGAGCGCACACTCACTCCAGAACCGCTCGTCCAGCTCCTCTGTCCCTGTGGGTCTCTTGCGTCTCTGGCCTGAGAGCTTTCCAGGGGCTGATGAAAATGCTGGAAATATCAGTGGAATGGCTGCAAAATGCGAAAAAAATGGCCAATTGAAAATTAGTAAGTGTTGGGTTAAATCAGTCCAGAATACACCCTCATACCAACCAGCCAGCCCCAGTGCAGCGCCTCCTACGATTTTTACCTGGTGACGAAGGTGGGTGCATCATAATATGGCGGATGTGATGCCAACACAACCTGGGGCAGGGCGTGTGTGCACAGTCACGGCAGCATGCTCGGCAGGGTGAGAGGAAGGCAGAGTGAGTAAGAATGTGACCCTGGAGCCCTGCTTGGGCTCAAATCCCGGCTCTACCCACATTTGCTATGTGACTCGCACAAGTGACTTTAGCCTGCTGTGCCTCAGTTTCTTCCTCTGTAAAATAGGGGCAGTGACAGCATCTACCACAGAGGGGTTTTGTGAAAATGTAACGTTTAGGGGGTTTTGTCAGACTTAGTATAACTACGAATTCATCCAGTGCTGTAGCCCCTGCACCTTGCCCAGGCCTGTGCTGAGCTGTGCCTGCGGACAACAGTCCTGGCCTTGTCCTTCTGGGGCTCACAGTCCAGTTAGGGAGACAAACCTGTCCCCAGACAGTGATGACCCAGGGTGAGCAAGGCTGGGATGGAGGTGCTTGACCCAGCCTGGAGGTCAAGGAGGGCTGCCTGAAGGAGGGGATATCAAAGCTGAGACTTGGAGGGTGGGCTTTGGGTCTGTCTCTAGCTCATGTCCAGCCCTTGTCCTCGTCCAGATCCCTTCCCCTCATCCACTGACAGTGTGATAAACAGCTCCTGTGGGCATGGCCATGAATCAACCCAGTGCCTTCTCTTGGGGAGCCCAGCCAGGGAAGAGCAGAGCAGAGCCATAGCCCCAGGCTGGGCTCCGCTGCGGTTCTCCACTTCCTGCCTGTGTGGCCTTGCACAGGTGCCTTCAACTCTTTTTGTTGTTGTTGTTGAGGAAGACTGGCCCTGAGCTAACATGTGTGCCAGTCCTCCTCTGTTTTGGATGTGGGACGCCGCACCGTGGCTTGATGAGCGATGTGTAGGTCTGTGCCTGGGATCTGAACCTGCACACCTTGGTCTCCCGAGGTGGAGCTCACGACCTAACCACTGCACCACTGGGCCAGCTCCTGTCCTTCGAGCCCTGAAGCCCGGTTCCTGAGGGTTACGATAAATGTTCAATAAGAACTTGATCACTCTTCGGCCTTGTTCCCAACGCAGGCACAATTGAAAAGCAGTGAATCTTGTTAATTTGTTCTTTTCTTGTTTACCCTGAGGCGTCACTCAAGGGACACAAGGATTTAGGAGCTCATTTTGGGAAAAAGAACAATGCCTCCAAGGAAGTTACGTCCCCCAGATAGCCAGCCCCCAGCTGTGCTGATGCCAAGAAGTCACGTTGCCCAGGGGCTTATCTGGAGTGAAAGAAACACGGACTTCCCCTTTGTTTTCTGATTCGCCTCCTCCTCAGCCCCTTAGCGCTACAAAGACCCTGCTTTCCTCTCCTGTGAAGGTGGATTTTTTTCTCCTCTTGTTAAGGTGGATTCTTCTCCTCCTGTTAAGGTGGATTCCTTCTCCTCCTGTTAAGGTGGATTCCTTCTCCTCCTGTTAAGGTGGATTCCTTCTCCTCCTGTTAAGGTGGATTCCTTCTCCTCCTGTTAAGGTGGATTCCTTCTCCTCCTGTTAAGCTGGATTCTTTCTCCTCCTGTTAAGCTGGATTCTTTCTCCTCCTGTTAAGGTGGATTCTTTCTCCTCTGGGTAAGGTGGATTACAGAGAACCTATCCTCTCACCTTCCCATTTTGGCCATTCGTATAAACCTTTCTCTCTCGCTAAGTACCGGCCTCAGTGATTGTATTATTGTGCGTCAGGCCCACAGACTTAGGATCAGGAGGTTCAGTATCACTCTCTGGCCTCAATACCCTCATGGGATTAATAGGGCCCAGCTCCCAAGGTTCTCGTGAGGATTCTCTTGAGATCCTGAACTTCAGAGTCCTCAGGACAGAGCAAGTAGGGATGCTCCACACGTGTGAGTCTCAGCATCTCTTTCCCAAAGACACAACCCCCACCCTGTCCCATAGCCCCCACCCCACAGCAAAGAAGCACACAGAAGTCTCATTAGGATTTTTATTGCTGGTAGGGGGTGGGGGCTACATGGGGCACCTTGTGGGAAATCTTCAGCACCGGGGCCTGGGGTGTGTGAAGTTTCAGAGCTTCTTCAGGGGCAGAATCTTAGGTTAGAGTGAGAAACTCTCCCAGTGTTCAGGGCAGCAGTGTTCTGGTGTGTGCTTGTGTTCTGGCTTGTGCTTGTGTTCTGGCGTGTGCTTGTGTTCTGGCGTGTGCTTGTGTTGTGGCTTGTGTGTGTGTTCTGGCGTGTGCTTGTGTTCTGGCGTGTGCTTGTGTTCTGGTGTGTGCTTGTGTCCTCATGTATTCTTGTGTTGTGGTTTCCCAGTTGGCTTTGATGGCATTTTCCTGTAGAGAGAGACGGGGAGAGGTCACTGTGTGTTGCCCCAATCCCGCCCCTACCCTGACTCCCTGGTCTCTCTCTTCCACTAAGAAGATTCAGAGGAGCCCAGGACTTGGTGGCCCCGCTTCTGTGCCTGTTTCCCAGAGGGACCAGAGTTCCTTAAAATCAGAATGCTTGACGCTGGCCTGGCTCTCAAGGCCTGCCCTCTCTGCCCCAACGCCTGCTCTTGTCCTCTCTGTCCCCTGTCCCCTGCTGATTCGAGGACACTTTCCAGCCGCCCGCCCTTTGCTCAGGCTGTTCCCTTGTCCTAGAATGCCACCCTCTCCTTGACTATGTGCACATCTTCCTGCCTCAGGGCCTTTGCACTCCCCGTCCACAGGGAACATTCTCCCCACATTCCTAGACCCTGCTGCATTTTCCCTCATTCAGATCTCAACTGAAAGTGTCACTCTTCAGAGCAGACCCAGTCGCCCTGTCTACAAGAGCCCCTCCCCATCCCTACTTGTTCTCAACACCCTGTTTATCGTCTTCTCAGTGCTGCGCTCCCTCTGGGCTCCTCTCCTGGAACTCCCTGGTTCATGGGCTGTTCCCCTCCCTCTCTCTCCCCCGAATGGCAGCTCCCTGTGGGCTGTGACTTTGTCCTGTTCATCGCTCTCCTTCCCTAATGCACCAGGTCCTGGCCCTGAGCCGATGCTCAATGCATATTTGTTCACAAATGAATGCTTTCCTAACTCCTCAGACAGAGCCCCTGTGGGCGAAACACCCTGGAGCGTCCACACTGTGCCAGGCCCCATGCGGCCCTCCACGTCCTTCCCCTCAGAAGCCCCCATGGCACAGACGGAGAAACTGCGGCTCCTGATGTCACAGGAGGAGTGGGTCTGCCCCAGCCTGTGCCCCAGGTCTGTGCAGCCCCAGCTTGGGCCTGTCCCCACCACCCAGGGCCATCTCCACATGAGCCTGGCCGGAGTCAGGAACCTGTCCCCCAAGTCTGAGCACCCAGAGAGCCAGCTGTGTGACCGCAGGGACCTTGTCACCCTCCCCAGCCTCAGTTTTCCCAGTGTCTTCATCCATGCACCCAGCCCACCCGGGCCCGGGAAGGGGAGTCACCGGGTCGCTGAAGCTCTGTTCTTCTTGTTGATGTCGTCGATGATGTATTTCACAATCTCCTTCCCCAGGCGCTTTCCAACCTTCTTCCACCACCTCCGGATGACGTCGGTGACGCCGTCCGGCTCTAGGTCCGCCTGGTCCGGCTCTAGGTCTGCCTGGGCCGGGGCTCGGCCTGTCCAGGAGACGGGGAGGGTGCAAACATCTCAGTATTGGGAGGCCTCCCAATGAGTGTCAGGGATGGGAAAGGAGGTCCAGGAACGGGATTCTTGGGGCTCCTGGTGTTAAAATGGGGGGAGGTAGTGGGGCCCCCAAGTGGGTCTCAAGCTGCTGGGAATTGCCTTCTCTCCCCCTGGACACACCCCGCCCCCCCTTCCACACTGTAAAAGCAAGACAGCCAGTCCTGGAGGGGTGGGGGTCAGTACATCATGTGTTGCTGGGGCTCCACAGGGCAGATTTCCCACCTGCTGGACCACCCCTTAGAGAAGCTGAGACCCAGCTGGCGGGATGTGGTGGGGTGATGAATGCAGGACAGGGGAACCTGGGCACATAAGGGTCCCCAGAGCTCTCCAGAGTCCTCTGAGCCTGGACCCCAGGCCTGGGGCCAGCTTCGCACTTCCAAATCTCAAACTTCCAGGGTCTCCTCTCCTCTTTTACCTTCACACACCATCCATAGAGCCACCAACAGGACCGGGAGTGACAGAGCGAGCCTCATGGCTGGTGAGGGGGCTCTGGAGACAGAAGCGGGATGGGGTGATCAGCGACACATCATGTCCCTCCCCCAGGTCCCTCCCGGGAAGTCAGTGAGCACCTACCTGGACCAGAGAGGGACAGGACAGGTGAGCTCCCACCTGGACCAGTGAGGGACAGGGGAGATGAGGGAGCCTGGCCTGGCCTGGGCCTTTATTAGGCTGCGGAGGGGTGGGGCAGGTCCCCCCTCCTTCCCCCTGGGCCTCCCCTGGGCCTGCCTCCCTGTGTCCTCTCTCCTTTCCATTTGGGCCCCTTGCTGATGGCAGCGGGTCACGTCAGGCACAGTCATGACCCTTTGGCCCGAAGCCCCTGGCTGTCCATCGCCCGCATCTCGAAATTTCCCTGACTGTGGGGCCCTCTGCCTGCTCCAGCCCTTACCCCTCAGGGGGCAGTCTCCACCTCCCCTCCTGATGCACACCCTGCTCCCAGCCTCAGGGCCTCTCCCTCTCCCTCTGGGTAGCTCAGGGACTCAGTTCACACTGGACCCCGGCCCTCTTCCATCCCACCACTTCTTCACAAGCCTCTTCAGCCCAAACAGCTCCCGCTCCACGTCTCTGTGGTCACGCAGTTGCCCCACACTCCTACCCCCGGCAGGCCCCCTCCAATCTCACTCTCAGACTCACCTTTCACGCCCCACAACTTGCATCTGGAGCACCCAGGCCTCCCTTCTGCTCTCTGGGTCTGAACCTCACAGCCTCCTCTCTCCCTTTTGGGAAGGGGTACTTTCAGCCTGTCTCAACTGTAAAACCTGCGCTGCAAGGCTCCAGCCTGGGCCCCACCATCCATCCCCCAGACTCCTCTTCCATTCCTCCCCCAGCTCCAAGGCTGCCGGGCCCGGTAAACACTCCGTCTGCTATTCATCACCCTCTCAGGCCCCTCCTGGCACCCAGGCTCCCATCTCCCCTCCCTCCACCACATCTGCCTCTCAGGGCTGGATCCAGGGCTTCCCCCCTCCTCCGGGCTGCCTTTGACCCCCAGTGATCCCTGGCAGCTGGGCATAGAGAGGCCCCAGATCCAGACTCTTCTTGGTTGGCCTTGTGTCTCCCCACCATATGTCAGTCTGGAGATGAAAGGGGATGGTTTGAAAGGGACACACAGACACTACCCTGGCAGCATTGCAACACTCCTCTTGCCAGCTCAGCACTTCCGGTCCCTGTCAACCCCCCTGCTGCCTTCCCAGACATCCGCCTCCCTGGTGAGACCAGCAGTCCCCAGACATCTACCCAAAGTCTGCTCCCCTCCCTGCACTGACCCAAAAGAAGAGAAAAACAAATTGCCTTTTCCAGTTTCATCTTCATCACACCTATAGGAGTTTCCATTCACAGATGGGGAAACTGAGGCACAGCCAATAACATTCAATGGCTCAGTGAATGATTAGATGGGTGTGGGTAGTCCCTCCCCTTCCCAGACCTCAGGCTGTCTCTCTGCATCCCTGCCGGGGTCAGCCTCTGCCCCACAGCACCCCTGCCAGCCTGTGTCTCCCAAAGCTCTGTCCCCAGCCCCTGTTCCAAGTCTTGACCTGACTGGGGCTGCCATGAGGTGGGACAGCCCTGTCTGCTCAGACATCTTCCTACGTGAGGATTCAGAATTCAGGTCTTCAAGTGACAGACGTGGCTGGTGCCCCTCTCTCCCACTGACATCTGGGGAACAGGCTCAGAGGGGTGGCCCCAGCTCCAGGGCACACTGCGATCAGTGGAATGCGGAGCTGGGGCCAGGCCCTGGCCTCTGAGCCCACTGACCCTTTCCCTCCTCACTGGGCTCTGGGTGAGTCACGTGGGAGAGGGGACCCGCCTCCACAGGGACACCAAGGGAGGGCCAGGGAAAGCCCTCGTGGTGCAGAGGGTGCCGGAGAGAAAGCAGGCACAGGGGTGAGGAGAATGCAGCCTGGCCTGGGAGACAGGAGCATCAGCCTGGTCAGTTCCCTGCAGTGGGAACCCTGCTCCCCTCCTCTGAGCACTGAGGGCGTGGGAGAGGAGAGGCCGGTGGTTCCCAGCTCCAGCCCTGGCTTCTCTGTGTGTCAGCTCCCAGCTCCATCTCCCAGCCCTGACCTCCATGGGCGGTACTGACCCTCCCAGGGTGGGCCTCTCCTTCACCCTGCAGCCTGGACTCTGCACCCACTGGGCTTGTTGGATAGACAAGAGGTCCACGACCCAGCTGGAGGAGGGAAGGAAGTGAGACACAAAGGACCCCACCCCCACCGCCTCCCCTTCTGAGTCAGACCCCAGCCCATCCCCCGAGGTCCAGGAGTGCTGGAGCCCAGGCCCTTCTCCCCCTCAGACACAGTCATTGATTCTGAAGCCTGTCCGGCTGCTTGAATTCTTCCTGAAGTACCTAACGGCTCTGACCGTCCCGTCATGAAGAGGTGCTCACACCCCATCATGCCCTGCTCCTTTAGGAAGCTGGGAAGACCTCGGAGTCCCAGCTCAGTGTCCCCAGCCCTACACTCAGAGACAGCGTCGCCTGTGTCCACAGCTGGCAGGGACAAAGTCCTCTGCAGCCACTCTGGCAGGACGAGCTGGGGCGAGTGACCCAAGACCCTGCCCTCCTGCTGAGAGAAGGCCTGTGGAGTCCCCAGCTGATGGAAGTCCCGGGCTGTGTGATCCTGGGCCAGGCCCTTCCCCTCTCTGAGCGGGGTCCAGGCAGCAGCCAGGCTTGAATCCCTTGTGGTTGGTGTCACTCTTCTGCGCTTGGGCCCTGCAGCGCCCCCTATTGGTCACTGTGGGAAGGTCAGGCTGGAAGGAATGGGTCAAAGGAGCCACAGATGCAACATAGGAAAACAGAGGCCTCCAATTTCACCTGGGGTTTTGTGTGTGTGTGTGTGTGTGTGTGTGTGTGTGTGTGTGTGTATTTCATTATTGTCCTGTAAAATGCTTCAGTTCTTCCCTGTTTTTCTACTGAACGAAGATTTCTTTCCCCACCCAGTAACAGCCCAGACAATGAGAAACACAGCAGCTCATCCAATGAGAAACACAGCAGCTCAGCCAATGAGAAATGCCACAGCTCAGCCAATGAGAAACACCAGAGCTCAGCCAATGAGAAACACTGCAGCTCAGCCAACGAGAAATGCCACAGCTCAACCAATGAGAAACACCAGAGCTCAGCCAATGAGAAATGCCACAGCTCAGCCAATGAGAAACGCCACAGCTCAGCCAATGAGTAACGTCACAGCTCAGCCAATGAGAAACATAGCAGCTTAGCCAATGAGAAACATCACAGTTCAGCCAATGAGAAACACTGCAGCTCAGCCAATGAGAAACACTGCAGCTCAGCCAATGAGAAACACCAGAGCTCAGCCAATGAGAAACGCCACATCTCAGCCAATGAGAAACATCACAGCTCAGCCAATGAGAAGCTGTTGCCACCCTGAGCTGTTACTTTCCCCAAATGGACTTTCCTTTAGAACAGCCCCTCCCTGCTCCCCCTTTTTCCCTATGAAAGCAGCTCCCCTCCTTTGTTTTGTGGATTTGCCTAGGGTTTGCCACCGCATGCGGGTCCTGAGTTACAGTTCCTTTGGCCAGCCCTGGATAAACTTGTTGAGGCTTTCAGGTCAACATATTGGTGTCAGAAGTGGGCTCCAGAGGAGGCAGTGACCCCCAGAGTTGAATGAGGTCCCACACTGAACCCCCATGCTCGTCACTTCTGGGAGTTGCTGCCTGCTTTTGGTTTATCGAGTCTCCTCTTGGAATTTGAGCTCCGCTCCCTTTGCATTCTGAGCTCTCAGGTTATTCAGCATTTGAGAGGCTTGTCCTCTCAGGGAAGGAATTTTATCCTCCACATTCAAGGCATGGTCCTTGGGTTCAGAGCATCGTCCTTTGGTGAGTATGGGGTTGTTTTTTGAGGGTAGCACTGTTCCTGGCTAGCTTTTCTTAAAACCAAATTGGAAGTCTGTGGCTCTAGAATTAAGCATGATGAAGGATACGTCTATTTTCATCGGTATCTCGAGGCTTCTGGATACGCACAGAGCTCTAAAATTGCTTCAGCACAAGATACCGTGTCTAAACTGGCTGAAACAACTGAAGAACTGAGGGAGAACAAAATGGCCTCCAGAGCCTCATGTTCCCCTCCCCCTTGTTCTTTGTCTCAGGTGCCATTTGGTTTGTCTTCCCAGAACCTTTGTCTCAGACTCCACCCTGGCATCCTTCTTATACTTAGGCCCCACCCCCAATGCCATCTTCCTCTCTTCTGCTCTGAGAAAACCTGCCCCTTTAAGATCAGACCCTCTGAGGACTCAAATGCTAAGCCCCTGATTACTATTTCTAAGTTAATGAAGCAAATAAACAACTAGAAGGGAAATTTTGAGTAGCACTTACCCGAGACTTTTGATAATAGACAGAATGACTCCAAAAGCAGCTTACAGGATCCTTACAGCATGCTGGGAAAAATCTTTCATTAAAGACCGTAGCCACCTGAACAAGTAACCTTAACTTAGTCCATCTGCCAGAAATACAATTTGGATCCAACTATTCTTTTGAGTTTTGTACCTGACACGTGGCTAAAAGTTTTAAAATGAAAGCTATGAGGTCTCTGTTAATGTCTGTCTCTGTGTCTATGTATGTGTGTCATAGAGATGTGATATTTTTCTACCTCTGGTTGATATGGTTAGAATTGATTTGTAAAAAGCTCTATTTAATTGCCTTGAAATTAAGTGCTTATAAAGTAAGTATTCTTAAATCTCAGAAATATAATGGAAACTCACTTAAATGCTTCTCAGGTTCATGTCCTCTAGGATTAATCATTAGTAAATAAAAGCCAACTGAAGGTTGTTGGTGTAAATTAAAACAGGCACATCTTCTGAGTTGTTAGTCCTGGGCGTCATGCAAATGTGCAACTTTTCTCTCTGCCTGGGTTTACTAGTCAAGGGGGCTCATGCTGTCTCTGTTACAAAATTGTCAGCAAGAAAGTAACTTGGGATGATGGTTGGCTATTTAATGTGTAATCCAAACGTTATTGTAAAACTCAAGTAATTAAAATAAATGTAAATAAGAACAAAGTCTACACTAAGTTAAACTAAATAAAGGATAGTCTTGAATACCTAAATCATTTTCCAAACAAGATAAAATACTAAAATGTAAATCACTGAATCTGAATATAGGTTTATCAAATTTTGGCTTCCTATTGCAAAGAAACTAAAGATAAATTTCGGTATGTTGGTAACCATGCCTTGTGCCACATGGGAAAGACTGCCATATTCAAAGGGCAGATACTCCTAGAAATTATGAAATGTGCTTATAAATCTGCCAGTCTGTGATCTCTTAGTTCTTAATTTTCACTAGGAATTGAGGATTCTAAGGATTAAGATTTCTAATATATGTAAATAAAGCTATTAGAAATAAAAGGGAAACATGTCTGTATGCAAGGAAAGTAAAGTGTGTGTCAGTAAAAGAAGGTATGAGGAATGGACATAATTTTGTTTTAAAGAGAGGCTGGCTATTTCAGGAAGGGGTAGAAGGAAACACAACAAAATCCCAATGTAAAAAGAAAGTTGTAGAAGCTTGAGGGAAAGGAATCTTGGGAAAAGAATTTTATGAGTGGTTAGGACTGGCAAAGATTGGAATGAATAAATTTTAATATCAAAATAAGCTGATGCAAATTAAAATCTTTTCTGTTAAGAGGGCGAGGTTTTCTTAGGCTATTGGTCTGCTCTTGATAACACATTACGAAAGCTTCTTTATGTTTAAGCAATAGGACAAGAAAACAGAGTTTTTCAGTTTCCTCAAAGTAATTTCCTGTGTTTTTTCTATCAGATCTTTAATTATGCAAGAAACCTGAGTCTTCTCAGTATTGAAGGAGGGAAGTTTTGCTTACAACTATGTAACCTTTTGTATTCGCCTTTGAAATCTGTTATTGTTACTTTGGTCAAATAGATACTTAAGTATTATTTTGTAATGATCCATGATCCTATCTGGTCAAGTGTCCAAACCTCTTGATACTTTTGACAAGCTTCCCAAACTATTCAAATTCTAAATGCTGTTTTTTGACCAGGATGTAACTTTGGGATTTTCCAGAGGGCACCTGGGACATCTCAAAAGATTGATTCTCTTTATAAAAGGAGACGTTCCTCTAATTATGC